TATATATATATATATATATATATGTATATATATATAGATATATGTGTAACATCTATATACACATAGATAGATATATAGATATGTAGATCTACATATATGTATGTAAATGTATATATATGTATGTAGATATATATGTATGTACGTATGTATGTATGTATGTACGTATGTACGTATGTATGTACGTATGTATGTACGTAGGTACGTAGGTATGTATGTATGTATGTATGTATGTATGTCATACATACACACATACATACATACATACAGTGAGAGAGAGAGAGAGAGATGCCATGATACAATTCAAAATTTGGAACATTCCCAAAAATAAATTATAAAATTCATTTACTATTATTTCAGCATCTTGATAATGTTGTATATAATAAGTGTGATCAAAGAACAAAATGATCTTTGGAATATTTATAGGATCATTTTAATTCCAAATTATTTAATATAGCCAATTTAACTATTTAAATCCTCAAATTTAATTCAAGGTAGTCAATTAAATCATCAAATATAATTAAAAAATTAAAGAGACAATTTGAATAATACTTAAGTTGTTTGAACATTAAATTGAAAATATTTATAATTCAACACTAAAGTAACCTTCTAAGATATTGGCATTCATAGTATCACACACTCACATTTCGACTCTAGCTCTGCTTTGAGCTTTCGAATCTTCTCATCGGATATTTCCATAGCCTTTTGCAATTCTTGTATTGACTTTTTTCCATCCTCTTCTAATTTCCGTCTTGAAGCTTTCTCTTGCCTCAAATTCGTCTCAAGCTTTTCTATTTTTTCATACAAATCACAATGAACCTGCAAAGTCACAAAAAAATATATAATGGTAAACTTTTAATGGTAAATGATCACAATTGTCATTATATTATATTGCTTAAATATATTCATTTTGATCTTATCATTTTCATGTATTCAATTTAGCCTCTTAACTGAGCATATCTAAATCAATTTAGTCCTCACAATTAATTTTTTGGTCAAAATTTAATGTAGAGAAGCATTTCAAAAGAATATTTTAAATTTATTAAAGGCAATCCCATTAGTTAGATTTAAGATTGATCTTAAAAAGTCAAAATGTTTCTAGTAAAATCTTGCCTCCACTCATTTCCATCTAAAGAAACAAAAAATTTAATTGCATAACCAAATTTGTCAAGATTTATTTGACAAGATTTAATGAACCGATGCGCTCTAAAATCACTGAGATTGAGATTAAAAAAAACATAAATCATTTTGATTGTTTGCTTTCATTTCAGACATGCAGAAATGAAACATACAGTGATATGAGATGTTTTGTATTGAGAAAAGTAAATACCACTTCTGATACGTCTTTGAACTCATCATCATATGATTTATCAAGTTCTTCCTTCTGTTTAGATAAACGCTTCGTCGAGCATTCTGGATTATCTTTGCTCTCTTTTTGCTTTTGTTGTCGGCACAATGCTCCTTCCTATATAAACATGAGAGACAATGTCATTGATCAACTTAAATGCATGAATGATGAATTTGTCAAAAATGTACCTTAGCTTGTGCAAACATTTGTCTTGTGTAAAGTTTTCCTCGATTGTTCGCAACAACAAAGTCGCTAAGAGAGATCAACCGTTTTACTTGCCTCTCTCTTTTAACCTCATCCATGGTGATGTTATCAAAAACCACAACTCTTCTATTACATAGGAGAATTAATTTCTACAAAATTATTATCAAGACAAACAAGTTAGAAAAGTTGTGAAATTAACCAAAAATATGTTTTTGAAGTTCTAGCAAAAAAGGTTAATCACTGGTAGCTTCAAAATGTGTACATTCGCTGATATTGGAGAAGCTAAAGGACAAAACAGAGGTAAAATGTTACAGATTAGAAGCAAAACACAAAATAAGATACAGCCTTAAAACACCACTCGGACTGGCCACTCCGTGATACTTAAATCAACAATCTAAATTACACAAAAGAATGCCTTAGCAATCAATTTATGTCTCCGCTCATTCTCTATTACAACAAACATATTTATAACAGACCAGTCGAATATTTGGCTGAAATATATGTTCATAAATAAGGCCACCTATTTAAACTAATTACAAGAACGTCACAAACACATTTAATATTTATTATTCTGCTCTAACTCAAGCTCCTAATTTGCCTTATCCTTTACCACTCCACATGTAAAGAAATCATATTTGTTCTTTTTCTAACATGATGTCACACATAGAGATTAAAATTCTAAACCCATTGAAATATGTATCAATAAGGAAGAAAAGCTGTAAAAATATCAGATAATTTTTATTCAACTTGTGTTTTTACACAAGAACATCAGCACTATATCAGATCAATTAAAGACCACAAGACTAAGATTAGCATAGCATATTATATAATTTGAGTATAATTGCGCGTACAAGTCATAAACAAAAAAGAAAATATTGCAATGAATATGTAACTAATTAAGAAACAAAATACTTGAAAACTCAAGGATCAAAAATTAAAAAAAGGAAAAAAAAATTACATAAACAAACCTTTAGCGGCTCTGGACAATCTTTAATCCACTCACTGAAAGTTATCTTCTTCTTTTCAAGTACATCCCCGCCAGCAAGAACTACAATCAAGTAGTCAACAATTTTATCACCAAAGAAGGTTTTTAAATACCTGATAGCATCCTCTTCCTCCATTGTAAACCGGTCATTCATAGTGAATACCATGAGTACAGCATGGAGACCATCCTTGGCCAGATCTATGCACTTCTCTATTCTATCTCTCTACCAACGAACTCAACTCACGACTAGCTGAAAAACTAACTAATCCTAAAGAGGAAAAAAAAATAAGAGCTCAGCCTCCAGTAAAATCTCTACTAGAGACCACGAAAAGAGGAAAATTTGAAGAACTCAAATGCAATGTTGGAATTTGAAGCAAAACTGTAAAGTAGCAATAACCATGAAATGCAATTAAGAAAAGCATCAATAAGTATGAAATGCAATTAAGAAAAACAAAATGCTCTGTATGGCCAATACCAGATGACTCAACCCAACTTAATATTCACACAAGATTCACGTGAGATCAGATTCAAATAGATCAGCCCAAAGATCAGCTTGACCAACTTAGTGGATTGGCTACACAACACACCGCATTAGTCAATTCTTTAGTTTATCAGTCCTACCACGGTTACTGATCAAATCAGCGGCCCAACAACAATTGTTGGACAGCTCAAAAGACCAGACATGACTATTCATCAAATCTACAAAAGTCGAAAAATTTTCCTACAATTGGATGAGGGTTTCTAAGCTCGACATCCTATCAGGCCACAGAACACACAACATTTGTTGCATTTGTCATTTCTTTCATATGTCTTATTCAAAATCACAAGTGTCAACCAAAAACTACAACGGAAGGTCAAGGTTAAGCTCAAATTTTGCAATCTTAGATATTTAATCCAAGACACACTAGCATCCTTAAACTACTTTTCGTCTATCCCAAAGTTTCTCTCTCTACATCTCTCTTTTATTCTGTCTATTCCACTCTTTTCCCTATTTGAGGTATTGTTTTCTAGGTGATTTGAATTCACAGATATTCTAGGATCCAACATGCCCCTTGTTTCTTAAACATGTCATAGGTTCATATTGATGCCTTCCCATTGACAGTTAGGTTGATATTTAGGGAATAAAAATACCCTTTCCCTAAATTGGCATTTCACATTTCCATCTCAACGAAAGACATCCCATAACTTGCAAATTCAAAGTGGTTGTTAGCATCCTAAAGCTAATGGGCACTGTTTTGTTGGCGAATCAAGATGTGTCAGTGAATCAAGAACATCTCAGGCATTTAAAGCTGTTGCTAAGGGATAAAGTTCTTGAAAAGGGCAAGATTTACATTAGTATTAGAAATTAGGCACTTTTTTAGGTTTAATTAAATAAATAAATAAAACTATTTGCAACTTCTCAGTATCAATTGAGGTGGTGTTGCTTCCTCCTAATATATATGAAGAGGGGTTCAACGCCTACACTCATTTAGTTGTTTTATTTATTTATTTATTTTATAACTTAACGAGCAATGTAGAAATTGAGTCAAGAAATACCATTTTTTTTCCATTTTCTAATCCATAAAAAATGAGCATATTAGCGTGGTAAGACTTTATATTACCTTTTAATCTAAAGAAAAGGTAGAAAAAATCACTAGCCCTAATTAAAGAAATTTTAACTACTCGGTTATTCATTAGAATGTGCCCCTCCATGTAAGCCAAAATAAAAAAAAAATCCTTAAATTTTGTTTGACGCTTATATCACTTCTACAAGAGCTAATGATAAATGAAAACAGTATTCATATAGTAAAAACTTATTTAGAATTCGAATTAGATTAAAAATAATTGGTCACCCACCAAGCACAATAACTATTACTAGAATAAACATATAAAAACATCAATTTATTCCCATAAACTTTAGAAACTATCAGCCCATACTATCAAAACCCTACACACAAAGGCTGTTATTTTTCAAAAAACAATAATAATGAAATAAAGACAAAGGCCGTAGATGATTTTGGATGTTAAAATCAGCTGGGAGATGCTTGCCTACAAAGCTTATCAAGCCCATCCTCTCCCTTCCCAACCCATTCTAAGCATAAAAAAGTTGGGAAATTAGAAGTTGATCATCTCAACCCGGTACATTTATGGTTTTCATTCATCAACACAGCTCGAACTAACCACATTAGTAAATAAAAGTAGCAGCAACGAATAAAGAACTAAAAAAAATACATTCAAATACACTTGAGGCATCTTTGGGATCTTTTGTTTTTTAAACATATTTTTAGCGTGTTTTTTATGAATTTTTATTTTTTTTATTTTTAAAACAATTGAATGTCTTTGAAAACACTCAAAACAACTTTTAGATTAAAAATTATTTTGAGTGTTTTTAAAAGCAATCATAATTAACTCAAAAAATTGAACATATTATCTTTCAAATCAAAACATAAACTTAATAAAATAAAATAATAAATAAATGTGATCCCAAATGGCCCCTTAGGGACAAAAAGTAATCTCTTGATATAAAAGAAAAAATTGCAAAGGCGGTAAATTCATAAACTGTCTCGTAAAATATTGTTTTACATTAAGTTCAGTCTTTCAAAAAGTCTTATTAGATAACTAAATATGCAAACACACACTACAATCCAGAGGCAATCCATACATATCTAAAGCAATAAAGCTTGATTTTCCATCGAAAAAATAAATGAAATGCAAAATACCATTTACAAAATACTCTTGAAGTGTAAAGACATGTAGTGAAACTATACAAACTTTTGTTGCTTCCAAAATACAACATTCAACGATAAGACATAGACAACAATTTTAAGAATATTTCCTCTTACAAGAAATGAATAACTAATATAGTGATAAATAAAAAGAATGATTAGTGTTTTTATGATGTAAAAACCTCAAAAAGGTTGCCTTTACGGTAACTAATCAGAATGCAAATCTTGACATCGTACACAAGGTTACCAAAAATTCATCTTTTTCAACTATCTAATACACTTATATTAGAGAAAATGATCAAATTGGTCCTCAACTATTTATGAGAGACTATTTTAATCTCAAACTATATAAAAAGACCAAATTTAAACTCATAATGATAAAGAAGACCCTAAAACTCTAGTTGATTTAGTAAATGTTTTAAGAAATTGAAATTTAATAGTAAGTGTTTTAAGAAAATGTATTTTCTTATTGATTTTTTTATTAAATAGAATTCTCTATTTATATTATTTTCTCATGTATAGAAACCAACTAACATAAAACAGAAATGGATTAAAACCATGCAAATTGTGATGCAAGTTATTTATTGTAATAAATAATTTTATTTTACATTTTTGTTATTTTAATTCTATTGTAACAAAAATTGAACTTAATGTATTTTATTATAATACAATTACAATAAAAAATATCAAATAAAATTAACTATTAAAATAACTCGCTCGACAACCAAGATAATCTCAATATACTTTTGTTGTATGTGAAGTTAACTATAGTATACTATAAATAAGGTAGCTAAAGAATTATATTTATGAAGAAAATGAAAAAGAAAATAGTCCTAAATTATCATATTTTTAACACCACTAACTTCATTTGTCGTTCGTCTTCATAGCATAATTATGTTAAACACTGTTTAAAAAAACTACAAGTTAAATATGACATTTTACATAGTTTGAGACTAAAATCACCGCTCACAAATAGTCAGGAGATCATTTTAGTTATTTTCTTTTTTTATAGAGTAAAAGTGAAGCTTAAATTCTAAATTTGTCAAAACTTTTTCGATACTGAACCCCCACGAATTGGCACTGAGCCTCTACGAATTGACCTATAAAACCTATTTGGCTCTCTAACTTTTGTACCATTTGGCAATCTAGCTTTATTCCACGTGGCAATCTCATTTGACATTGTGCCAAAAAATTAAATGTGGGATTTGAAACATAAGACTTTTGAATGAAAATATCTATCACCAACAAAACTCTTACAACATGCTGCTAACGTTTTAGCATTTACTAACAACTCGAGTTGAATTTAAGGTCGAAAATTTATATCACACCTGTTATAGCATTGGAGAATCTTACTAAAATTAATCTAAAGCAAAGAATCTAACAGCCATATAATTATGTAGTTTTATAAATTTTCTAGTATAAGACAAGAATATAGTTACCAGGAGTGTCAATAACATGAACATGACGCCCGTCCTTCAAAATAGTGCTTTTCA